AGACCACCAATACCTCCGAAACATGGTTCATTGTTTCATCTGCGAAAAAACTCAATCTTTTACTTTCATAAAGTTTTCTTTCCTTTCTTGTATACTCAAACTTTTTTCTTACGCGTAGTCTGATAGAAGAAAGTTTTCTCTTCACAATGAGATGTCTTCCAGGATTTTTCCATGAGTTTTCATGATATAAGCATCACGGTAAATATCCTGAAAAAAAGTGACCTGTGTACAAAATGCGTTTTTCTCGAAACTATTTTTTTGCTACCAGGCTTCATTGTATCACATTGCGACCACTCCTTAAATTTCATCCGATCGAGTTAAAAATTTTATCAGAGGTACTTAAGACACTATTGTAGAGGTAATTTTTTGGAATTTTATGTTAGACTTTTCTTTACCGAGTTACCGGATTTCTAAAATTGAAAAACTTGGTTTTTGAGACGTTTTTCAGTATTGTTCCTATAACTTGACCATGAAAGGTCTTAAAAAAAATTTCCCAAAAATTTTCCTCTGCGGAATGACCTTGGAACTGGTGAACGGCAATAGTTAAAAACTTGAAACAAAAACGAAAAAGTGCTGCATTGAGTTTCCAATCAGTTCTGAAAATATGAAGCCTTAGTGACTTCTAGTATCCCACAGCATTTCTACGGAAAGCCCAAAAAGAGGGGGGGTACCCTTAACAACCGTTTTAACTTGTTTTTGGAATTTGAAATTCAGAATCCGATAAAACAGAAAGAAGCCATAGAACTAGCCGTAAATTCCTATCACTCGATAAATCTGTATGTTTATCTTAATTAAAAAGTAGTCTGATATTTTCAGCCGTTAGTTTGAAAAAGCTTTAGAAAAACTTGAAAGGTTTATGTATCGTATATTTTTAATTTACAAAATTGCTGAAAATATCTTTTTGAATCATCTCTTTGTGTGATCTACTATTTATAAGCTAGCACAATTAGTTAGATGAATAATAAAAGATTTTCAACTTTATATTAAAAAATTCTTCCTATAAAACTATTTTGTAAAAGAATCTGTTTATCGCAGATGAAACAATGAACCATGTTTCGGAGGTATTGGTGGTCTATTCGAAAGCAGAACATTCAGATACCGAAAACAGTCGCTCAAAAGGAACAACAACATAACAATCAAACAAGCCAACAGAAATGTAGTTGTTTACGTTGGACAAAACTATTCATATCCGCCCTTACACCATTAACAATCGGAATATTCACAATTGTAACAACTATTCAAGAACGACATAGACTTGTTCAAGATAAACAACAGGCTGAGAAACAACAAACACAAAGTAAGGATACAGTAGAAAATCAGCGTTTACAAGAAAAACAACTAGCCAATGATTTGCAACAAGAGTCTGTATTTACAACGTATATTGAGGATATATCAAAATTCATCTTAAACAATCGGAATGATAACACACCATTCGATGATGCGCAAAGCTTACTGTATATTCGTACAAAAACTTTAACGGTACTTCGAAAATTAGACCCTCAACGAAAAAAAAATCTAATGTTATTTTTAATTGAAAGTAGGTTGATTAATACAGATGATGAATCAAAAGATTTAGATCTTAGTGGTGCAGATTTTAGTAATATTCATTTTAATGGAACAATGCAATCAAAGTGTAAACTTGAAAGTATATATTTGCCAGATGTATATTTAATTAACGCGTCGTTTCTCAATTGTCGTATTATAGAAGTGAATTTTACGGGCTCATATTTGATGAATACGAAGTTTACCCAACCAATTATCGAAAATTCAATATTCAAAAATTGTGTTCTAGATGAATCAGGTTTTACAGGAACTGAACTGTTTTCAATCAATTTCGCGAATGCATTTCTTCCTCATTCTGATTTTACTGCGGCTTTTAATGTACGTCATCCAGACTTTACAAATGCTGATCTTACTAATGTAACTATAGCAGATGAACATCTTAAAGAAGCTACACTCTACAACGCCATTTTACCAAATAAGACATTTGGACCAATACAAAGTGAAAGTTTGGTGGTAAATGGTGATGCAGAATATAATGTTAGTTAAGTATAGAAATACAAGACTCCAGGCTTTCATATAAGGGTTAAACGTTTTTGTTGATCAAAAAAGTAAGATCTTATCGAAACTTTTGGAGTAGTCTCAAAGGAAGTACATTGAGAATCCTTCTGTTTTTGTTCTCTATTTTTCAGCAGAATGAAACATATACATGGTACATACATGTTCAAAATGCCGAACGGAAGATACGTTATTAATAGTATTTAAGGGCAACCATTTTTGAATCAATTTAATAATTGATGCAGCTTTGTCTGATTTCATTGTTTACCTGAATAAGCAATGAATAACTTCTTGATTTCTTTTGTTTACAAACGAAATAAGGATCTGCTTCGAATTTTAAAAAAACTAGGTATAGTCAGAATCTGACTCTGTCATTCAGTGCGATATCTTCAAATTGAAATTTACGAAAACTGTCAATCTTGTTAGTAGTGCATGCTTTTTTAAACATGTTGAAAAGAAGTTGATTTTGCGAAAGAAGATAGTGCCCGTATTATAGGTCATTCAGCAACACTCTGAACTTTGGACAAAAATGACTGTAGAGCCGAATTTCAAAAAGCATTTTTGCAGTAATGAAAACTGCATACATACATAGCAAGAAAAGATCACGAGTTTTGAAGACCACGTGTGTTGTTGTCCTATACATTCAAGTCTTCTATGATCTTTTATCTGACATGCTTTAGACGGAGTATCGGTTGTCCTCTGAGCACCCGGAGTAATAGCAGTTGATCTTGTGTACATGATACACCGACATTATCGCGAATTTTTCATAGTACACATTTGGGTATTTCTGGCAGTATGTGATGAGAGGTGGGGTGTGGATAGCGTGAGAGGGTACGTTGAGATTTCCGCGAAAACAGATCCGCCACAACTCTTCAACAAATTTTTGAAAATAGATTTTAAAGAAACTAAACCTTAGAACACCAAAAAAACAAATGCTGTTACTGGTGACTCTAGTCGTTATTAATATTTTATTACAGCTTTTACTTCAACTAGTTGGATATCCGATAAACACTTGAAAAGAACAAGAAAATTCATACGACATTAAAAACAAATGTTCTGTGTGAAACTACTTTTCGAACTTACTCTCACACTGCTAACACTCCCACTGCCCACCTCGCACTGCTAAAAATATCCAAATATGTACTACGAAAAATTTGCAGTAATGTCGTTCGCGGAAATATCGTGTCACGTGTGCAAAGTCCCCAATAATAGAAGACCACTGCCGGTTATATGACTTGAGAGCCAAATAGAAGACCATTGGTCTTCTATTATGTTCGACAAAAAAGGTCGGGAAATGCCCTGTAAGGCAATTTTCAAAAAAAATTCCGCCAAAAAGTTTTTCTAATAGGGGATGGATTCAAGTATGTGCGGGATTACCGTTGGACTACTAGCCGGCAACATAATTTGACCGCAACAAACCACCGTCCTTTAGAACTCGACTTGCCGGACAAAATAGAAGACCGGGTGGTCTATTATGTGGGGATTAATACGAAAGGTAAATGATAGGCATGCACTGGGACGGGAACATCCTGAAATTCGAGAACCTCCAACTCGGGAATCCTGATATTCTGGTTGATGATAAAATTTTGTTCTTGAGTTTCAGTTCTGACAGTGTTAAAAAACTATCAGGCGTAAAACCTATTATCACCGGCTTCAAAACACAAGGCAGTCGGTTAGTTTTTTGAATAACTTTTGGCAGGAATGAGGTAGAGATCTGAGATGTCGCTTAGATCCAGTTTTGTAGAGGACAGCCCGGACTATAAACTAAAAATCAGCATATTTCTATGTCACTTCTGGGAGCTGCGACCTGGTTTTCCAAAGATCCTCTGACAATCCGGTCTTTGAAATTTTTTCAAAAATTATGTCTGCTTCTGTAAAGTTGCTTACAAGTGTTATAAGTGTTGGCTATCGAATACCGCAGATCCCTGCCTCATTCCTGTCAAAAGTTATTAAAAACTAACCGACCGCCTTGTATTTTGAAGCCGATGATAATAGGTTTTACGCCTGATAGTTTTTTAACACTTTCAGAACTGAAACTCAAGAACAAAATTTTATTATCAACCGGAATATCGGGATTCACGTCCCGGTGCATGCCTAGTAAATGATAACAAACATTATCAAGGATATTTCAAATCTCGTAACAATGGTTATATACAAGAATAGGTGAGAGCATGGAATATGCGCATTCACGGCGAACTGATTTGTTTTCACTTTTCCGTTATGCAGCAATTCTCTATTATTTTCTGACTAGTTCAGATCATCATGCAGGTTAGGTAAAGGACTATTACGGTTATACTGCTGCGTTATACTCGCTCTCATGCCACCCTGCATGGTGACCTGAATTAGTCATAAAATAACAGAGAATCCGCAGGCGCATCATATACACCAGTACGCATAATTATCATCCGTTGCATATGGAAATGAATTCTCAGCGAATGCGAATTCATTTTATAAAAATTTCAAATTCTCTGCCAATATGTATTTTCCAAGCTATGAAAAATGTGCAAAAAAAGAGGTGATTCGCTTAGAATATGCAATTTCAGTACACATACATGCTATCACAGAAATCGATTAGAATCAACTAAAAAGCTCAGAATATATTCAAGCAAGTAATTTCTAGGCGCCGCACATTACCGAAACAACTTTCAAGAATATGGTTTCCATAAATTGAGAAGAAACTAAATTGTATAGCATTAAGGGCCTCCCCCCCTCAGAAATGGTGATTTTCGGTCAAAAAATCGGTTTTGAGATACACACATGGAAAGATAGCCTGAAGTGTCTACTTCCAGAATCTGTATTGCTTTTGGTTACAAAACTGGT